TAAACATGAGGCGCATAAGTGGACCAAATTGGAACATAAGAAAGAAGTAGATTTGAAGCCGGCCATCTTTCTTGCCTTCGTGTTTTTGGTGAATTATCGTTAAGCCTGCTGTCCTGCTCTGACGATGTCCGTCACATGACGGAAGAACACTCAGCAAAGATTCTTTGGGGTCACAGGGCAGTGCGCCGAGGACCTATTCGCACAAATCTACAACCACAGCTCCAAGGCAACCGCCCCACAACCTCCGGTAGAATCAATTTACGAATCTCTTCCACTCGCCTCTTCAAACGAAATGACAGGTACTCCAACTAGCTATTTGGTTGTATATGCTTTTACCATTGCTGTTTTGATTTATTTTAGCCATCCGGTATGGCTCCTGCTCAGAGCCCTTATTGGCGTGGAGTTGCTCCTCCATCTGGCTATCAATCCCAGGCCTATCTATCCCAACTACTACTAGCGGGTCAACCTCAACCTCTATCCGGGACGTTTTGCCCACCATTTTCTTCTGCTGGCCCTGTCAGGCCTGGAGGGCCAGTTACTTCTCAGCCACCACCTCCGCCTATGCCATCTGGGATGCCCTCTCAGCCCCAGCAGCAGATACCGCCACTGCCTCCTCATCCCGCTTTTACGCAACAGGTGAATATTGTTCTCATTTCATTCGTCTTCATGCATTTAAATTTCTAAGCACAGAACACCCTGAAGTTGATCCAGAACGCGTTGGATACCATTTCTGCATCTTTGGCGGGCTCATTAGTTGATAAGCGGAAATTTTCATTTACATTCTTTCACTTTACTTCTTCTGGCCTTTCTAATTTCCTTGTCATCTGGATTTATTCTGGATAAATGTATATACAGACTAAAGTTCCCTGTGAATCCCTATCATCTTCGCCTGGTTGTATTCTAATTATATAAGCTATAATGACCACCTAAGTTTGGCATATACCTACATGAAATATTTATTACTAGACATTTGTAGGTATGATGACCAAGATGGTGTGGCCTCTTGTGTGGTCACAGTCTCCTTTCGTTGTATAGAAGTTGTTTGACCTTGTTTTCGCAACT